GGTGAAACATTTTATCTTTGACCTGACCTGTGACGTCATCGGTGACCCCGAGGTCAATGAAATTTGGTTTCGCTCGACAAATTTGACAGGGCTATCGAATGCCGTTTGAATTTTCCGGATCCGTCCAGTAGTTTCGGAGATACGGGGGGGACAAAAAAATGTCCCCCCCCCCCCCCCACCGCGCGGAAGGTGGCCGAGAGGCCCACCGCCTGCGGGTTAATCGTACGAAGTACGTGCCATTTTTATATTCTTATTTATGCTCACACAACAATCGGTAATAAGAACAAAGCATAAGAGTGAACAGTGAACACTTTAACAGTCTGAGCATGGTGAGAGTGAGCAGTGAACAGCCCTCTCATCCGCTGCACAACTGGTTCCCAGACCACTGGCCGCAATGACCGGCCCTAACGAGCCTCTCACACTGCCCAGAGGAGGTGTGCAGCGCTGCCCTCGCAGCTACCGAATTAGTCGCAAAACGCGATAAAGACGTGCTCCGCCGGCCGGATGTGTTTCATTGCTGCGTGACGTCAGAGAGGGCCCCACGGGAGGCGGTTCCCACGGTTGTCAGTGGCCAGTCCTGAGGGTCTGCAGAGCGCCCCCCCCCCCCCCCCCCGGCCGTCTCAGCGGGCAATGGAACTGGTTGGCGCAGGGAGTATACGATCACGCACGCATGTCTGAGGATTTACAGGTGTATGACCGAGGGACGCGGGGTTCTTATCGGTCGTATCTAGCCACACACAGTCACAGTTCGTGTTATAGTGCGGCCAGTGGTAGAATAGGTAAGTACTTATACTGTCTGCCCTTTGGATATCCGAAATTGTTCACCACCTAGCACTCTTGGGGACGGTGGGTACTGGTAAATGAATTAAGTGATCCTGCAGGACGACCGTAATGCCCCGGCATCCTCCTTAACACCGTATCAAATTAACACCATTAGGTTTCCTTAACCCGCGCCCCGCTGGGCTATTCAGCAAATAGCCATACGCGCCCTTCTGGCACATTGCCCCAAAAGACGGTAAATAACTTTTGAAAATACCTATCTCCAATTTTAGTGTTTTCTGGACCAAAATTTTGCAAGGAATCCGATGGTGTGGTCCCCGAGATCCGAAAAATTTCCATTTTGGAGATAGCACCTATTTTTTGAAAAATAAATATTCGTCAGGCATAATAGTCAAATAAATTGAAAATATATTGAGTTAATTTTTGTAACAACACTAGAATGTGTCGAACAGGAATTAGAGATATATTTTAGCTGAGATGATACTATATCTGCGCATACATGTACATGAACTAGTACATTAACCCTCGTCGGCCGAGAAGGGGTGGGGCGGGTGCCGCCTCATAGGGCTTTTCGCGATAGCTTAAAACTCGCTTAGGGTAGACAGCTGAAACTTGGTATACCTAATCTTTTATTCAAACTGGATCTTTTGACCTCAACTGCGTTTTTAGGTCAGGTCAGGTCACTGACCTATGACGTCATAAATAAACCTCTGCGAAGTCCTCAGATGTTGCAACTTTGCAACGCCCTCAGTGCCAGAGGAACTTTCACAGGAAGATGAAAGTTACAGGACGTAGTATCCTTCTGAGGTCTCACAACTTGTTTATCTCGGATTTAACCTAAATGTCACATGAGGTCAGGTCGGTCACGTGACCTCACCATTATAAGTCAATGGGGGAAATATTGAAACTGTTATTTTGGCGCCGGAAATGATCTAAAACTATCCCAAGCACATGAAATCGTGGTTTCATGATCGGACCTTACAAAGAGTGCATGAAACCACGATTTCATGTGCTTGGGACAGTTTTTAGACAATTTCCGGCGTCAAAATAACAGTTTTCATATTTCCCTCCATTGACTTATTATGGTGAGGTCACGTGACCGAACTGACCTCATGTGACATTTGGGAAAAATCTGAGATATACAATTTGTGAGACCTCTAAAGGATACTACGTCCTGAAAATTTCATCTTCCAGTGAAAGTTCCTCTGGCACTGAGGGCGTTGCAAAGTTGCAACTTCTGAGGACCGTGCAGAGGTTCATTTATGACGTCATAGGTCAGTGACCTGACCTGACCTGAAAACGCAGTTGGTGTCAAAAGATCCAGCTTGAATAAAATATTAGGTATGCCAAGTTTCAGCTGTTTTCCCTCAGCGTGTTTTGAGCTATCGCGAAAAACCCCTATGAGGCGGCATCCGCCCCACCCCTTCTCGGCCAACGAGGGTTAATGTACTAATTCATGTACATGTATGAGCAGATATAGTATCATCTCAGCTAAAATATATCACTAATTCATGTTCGATACATTCTAGTGTTAGTATAGATATTCACTCATTATATTTTCAATTTATTTGACTTTTGTGCATGACGAATATTTACTTTTCAAAAAATAGGTGCTATCTCCAAAATGGAAATTTTTCAGATTTCAGGGACCACACCATCGGATTCCTCGCAAAATTTTGGTTCAGAAAACACTAAAATTGGAGATAGGTATTTTCAAAAGTTATTTACCGTCTGTTGGAGCAATGTGCTGGGGGGGGGGGGGGCAGATTCTGCCCCCCCCCCTGTCTAACTTCCGAACCGATGGTCGTAGAAAGACGGGGAAAACGGCAATCGAAAGCTTTCAACAAGGCGGATCTTAAGAGCCCAATTTTTTTGCTTAAGTAGGTCAGAGGTCAGGTCAAGGTCAGGTGACCAGGTCAAGGGTACAAAATGCAAGTTTCTACATTATCGGCCTTGCACCGTAGTTGCCGAAGAATGGACTGAGACTGATTGCCCAAAACGTGTTCTTAGGCTACCAAGACAATATTCGTTGCATGAAATATCATTCAAAGGTCAAGGTCAAGGTCAGGTCAGGTCAGGTCAGGTCAGGTCACCAAAAACAAAATATAGAAAAGGGCATGTGCGACACATGTTTTATGTGTCATCTTATTCATAGAATTCAATAGGCACACTCATTACGTGATATGGACCACCTCTGGATGAATTTCAGGTCGAGGTCAGGTCAAGGTCAGGTCAAGTGAGGTCAAATTTTGAAGTTGGTTGTTAAGGCCTAAAAAGGTGTCTATCTGATGCAGTTTTTCACGGCGAATCGAATGGTGCTATTTTGTTTCCGTACGAGGTCTAGAACTTCCCCCCCAAAAAAAATCATTTTTTCAAAAAATTTGTGTGTCGTGACGTCATAAAATTTTGAATAACTCCCACATTTTTGAACCGATTCTTCTGAAAATTGGTATGTAGGTACACATAGACCACTTCTCTGACATATATTCCGGCTTTTTCGATGCACTCAAAATTTAGGATTTTATAATTATTTTCCCAAAAAGTCAGTTTTTTGAAGAAAAAAAATTGGGCCAAAATCCAAAATTTTCAAAAAAAACGAGATAGCCATTTGATAGACAAAGTAGAGTCACGTATGAACTTTTTGTTACGTCTTGATTCCTTTAAAAATGAAGATGTTAGGGGCGTTTGAAATTTTGCCGTTTTGTAGGCGAAAATGGCGAACATGACGTCACTAAAACGTCATTTTCTAAAAAAACTTCCGATGGATTTCGCTCAAATTTTCAGGAAACGTGTCAAATTGATGTGTGATAACCCGGCACCGCCTGGGCTATTTCCGTACCCACGACAGCCTGGGGGGGGGGGGGGGGGGGTCGGATCCGACCCCCCCCCCCTGTTATCTCGAGAACCAATGGTCGTATCGAGCCCCGCGAGGCGGCGTTCGAAAGGTCTCTACGAGACCTTCCCAAAGCACTCTTAAGATTTTAAGATTGAGGTCAACTTTCGGGTCAAGGTCAGGTCAAAGGTCAAATTCAGGGGTTTTGCATGATTAGGCTTACGGACAGCGGAATCGATAGCTGCTGCTCGAAACTCACCACAAATGACCTCAAAGACCTAGTAAAGGTACCATGTGCGTATAGGGGTCATACTAAGTACGGGTCAAGGTCAGGTCAGGTCACGAAAGGTCACGGTTTTCACTTTCTGCTACATGGGCGTGCGACACATGTTTTATGGCTTATTTTTCACGCCAAATCCGATGGTAATGGTTATATGTGACCCCAAGTCACTGTGCTGGTGATAAGTGTGCATTGAAAGCATAAAAAATCGTTTATACCATACATAACTAAACGAGGGCTAATAAAAAAGTCAATTTTTCAACCTTTTATTTTTGACATAAAAATGCACTTTGCTAGACGAGCTTTGTCCCAGGAATCTAGTGGTGCCATTTGTTTTCACATGCGATGTTCAGAAGTGCCTCTAATTCGCGAAAATGCTTATGACGTCACCATGCCCTATGCATGTTGGAGCTATTTTTTACAATTTGGGGGTCAAAAATCAAGATAGAAAGTTGAAATTTGGGACATCTAATGTTCCAATAGAGCTCTATAACATATATTCCGGTTTTTTGTAAATTCTCAAAATTTTGGATTTTATTAGCTATTTTCCAAAAAATATAGTTTTTTGAATTTTTAGGGGTGAAAAACGCATTTTATGGAAAATCCGAGATAGCCATTTTAAAGAACTCCTTGAGTTGCGTCTTTTCATGTCCTTAATTTGCAATTTGCTTAAAACCTCGATTTTTGGCGATTTTTTAAACATTTACCATTTTTTGACTGAAAACGCCATGTAAATACATCACTAAAATCGATATATCTCAAAAATTTTTGAAAATTTTTTCTTAAAAATTGCACAGGAGACGTTAAATTGATGGGGGAGAAGGTATGCCAAGTTTCAAGTTGATAGCGCAAGCGGTTCATGAGTTATTCAAGAAAAATGGAGGGGGGGGGGTCGGATCCGATCCCCCCCCCAGGCGGTCGCGGGATAAGGTACTGAAAGTTTGACGTCGCTGGCGTAACGCATTTAGAAGTTATTGGCGAAAAACAGGAGGGGGGCAGATTCTGCCCCCCCCCCCAGCGGGGCGCGGGGGGGGCAGAATCTGCTGCAACCATTCCCGGAGTGCACGACCCACTGCATAACGAAGCTGCAAAATAGAAACGCCTGAAAACATCTAGTAAACTAGGTGTATTTTATCACATTGCAATACACGATAAATTATCACATCACAAGCCAAATCAAATACCGTAACTTTAATTAACGTTACTGTAATACGCGTTACCTACACACGATACCGGACAATTTTCGCTTAGGTTCCTACTAATTTCTCCTCCTACTTCTAGGTAAACGACAAAAAATCATACACCAACTAATCGAAAATAGCTAACCGTACCTCTACGATAGCAGGCGTAACATAAGCTAAATGCAGTTTCCGTTACATCGGGTCAGCAAGAAAAGTAAAAGATACGCGAACATGTTAGTGTGGTAAACTAAATGCATTGATTTAGGTGAGTGAATGGAAGGTGGTAGGTAGGTAAGGCAGGTAAGGCTGGCAGGCAAGGCTACATCCATACTTGTGTGATCATGATATGCAATACACTTTCTAACGACGGCTACTTTACTCCCATGCTGTGACGTACTCGTAATTATCACTCACACTTATTGCTAGCATTCGGTTAACTACCAAATACGTAATATAATTCGGCCCATGACACCGGCGTCTTATTTCAAACACTGCAAGGTTATTCCTCATTTTAGATATGCGGATAAATTTAATGCTCATCTCATTAGTCTTTGAATAAATGCACACAGTTTCATGCACTTTGTTTTTGCTTTGACGGATAGTGCACCTAACTATATCCATGTTTGGACCGTGTGCTGAATGGATAAAGGGGACACAGAGTTGATTTGACCAGCAACTGAAATGTCGCTGTTGCTATGCCAGTTCCGTGTGAGAAATAGCTACCGGAGTAGTGAAACAGGCCAATAGCCTCCCAGACGGATAAACGGTCACCCAGGCTGACCGCACTGGCTGTGTTGCAGTAGGGGAGAGTGGGGTAATTTGGCCGGTGGTGTAAATTGGCCGCCCCCACCTGTACATACGAAAGCTGATAAAAGTGAATGAAATAACTTTAGTCTCTATTCATTTGTCGTCGGCAGAACTAACTCGAGAACAAATGTCAAAACTTTCCCCCGCTTAGTTTTATTCAAAATTAATAAAAGGTGAATTTCGTTAGAAAATGGTAACTTTTACTTCCGTTTAAAAATTTGTATAACATGTAGTATTTGGGCTGTAAACGAATTCCAACATTATAGCGCCATTTTTGAGGGTGTTCAGCGGTTCCAAGAGCAATTTCATCTAGTTCTGTACAGCCATGACGACTTTATAAACAAAAAATTTCAGAATGGCAATGTGGGGTTATTTGGCCGGGACTAGCGGGGCAACTTGGCCGGTGCGCTCAGAGTCACTTTGCTGGGACGGCCGAGTTGTCATGGTCAATTATACCATAAAGGACATAATTCATGATCAACTTTGACTACCTTGATGCCATATTTCCTATTGGACAGCTGTAAGGGCATGTGACGTCATCAAAGGTTACCTAACGCTTTTTTGCTAATAAATACTTACAGAAAAAAGATACAGCCGCGCAAATGGTATCATTGTGTTCAGCTCGTCAAGGCGCATCAAATGGTATACATGATGACCTTGAACTCACGTAACCTTGAGGTCAAGCGACCTGAGGTAACGTGACCTGAAGCCAACCTTTGACCTTGACCTCTCGAGGTCAACGCATACATGTTTCGATGCGGAATGACGAGAGAATTACGATGGTACTTTTAGTTTTGGCGTAGCTTGATTACTTTAAAAGCTATTCGTAAAAAACTGTCATCGCATCTAGAGCCGTTATTTTGACTATTTTCGACCCCTCTGACGGCTGAGTCAACCTCCAAAATGCTTCAAATGCGTCGTAGGACACGCGTCATTGCTGAATGTGAAGCTGACTCGCCTAGAACAAAAATCATGGCCTCAAACTAACACCGGCCAAATTGCCCCACACCCCCGGCCAAATAACCCTGCTAGTGGGGCAATTTGGCCGCTTTGCAGACCTTTGTAATACGTCACAATTTCAATACAAGTAGTTACTCTATCATTTCAAGTTTACTGTCCAAGAAAGTAAAATGTATGCCACACCTGTCAGCGTTGAGAAAATGCAGAAATGTGTTGTCGATTTTTAGTTACATCGTTTTCTAAAAAAAGCGGCCAAATTACCCCACTCTCCCCTAATCGTCATCCCGATACAGCTGCCCAAGGAATAGAATGGATAAGTTCTGAAGATAAAAGGACAAGAAAGTCAGCACAGTGAGCAGAAGGCACATCATCGCATTAGCTAAATGTAATTTAAAACATTTAAACTCCTACCATGGCTTTGTGACGAATATAAATCTAGGATGCTGGATGCTCGTGCATCGAAACAAATTACGCAATCGAGATGCTTGTGCAAAAGCTCAATGTTCAGGTGCTCACAACTGATAGCTCAGAAGACGCTTCTGAAGCATAGCTTACATTTAGCTCATTAACACATGCCTACCTACCGTCAAGTTCATCGGACGCGCCACTAACACTCGCAACCCACCAATCATCAGCGTGGTGTTATGGCCAAACAACGTTTTCTGTGACCTCGTCACTCACCAGGTACGCAGGGCATCACAAGTACAGTCACGAATCCTCTTATAGTCAGGTGTTAACCTTCAGAGCCACTTTCATAACCCAAAGACCTGTCGACACGTCTCATCCAGCGATCTCCCACGCACCACGACCAATTTCAGCTTCACTTCGTCCTCTAGAGACGAAACCGATGCTGGTGCTGACATCTATAGCAGAAGCAGCAGGGCGGCAGTAATAGTTCCGAAAGCAGCCGCAGTAGCTCGAGTGGCGCTGTTTCCGTCCCCGATGTTCACCTGAAGTGGGGTGAAACGTGCATGAGTTCGCTTTTGGGAGAAGTACATGGGCGTAGGAACCTCACGAAAAGTGGGGGGGCCAGCGAAACTTCAATGTCACTTTGTGGGAGCCCCAATACCCCTATGAAGAAATTCTTTGCAGTTTTGTGCTCATCTCACCTTGCTGAATCATTTCCTGCTCTTAGTTTTGTATTTAAATAAAAAATAAAGATTTTACTTTAAAAAATGGCTAAAAAGTGGGGGGGCCATGGCCCCCCGGCCCCCCCTGTTCCTACGCCTATGGAGAAGTATGCTAGATATACGCAGAAGCTGTTGAACAAAAAAAAAAAAAAAATGTTTTAGGCTGAGTTACTTATTTCGTCATGACAAACCCTAAGAAACTTAAATTGCATATTAGTGGTGTGCGCGAATTATCGATACCTACCTACAAGCTCCAATCATGTGTGGCCTAAATGAGCTCCACCGAGCTGAAAATTCGAATTGATTCAAAAAAAAAAAATCAAGACCTAATTACAGTCACCCTTTTGTAAATTCAAGCAGCCAATGGAGGAACCAAGACCAAGTGTCAAGTGACACCGACTACCCATTTAGCTAATATCGTCTGCAGCTTGACATCACGGACGTCTTACCGTGAACGTGAACGTGTCTTACCAGTTACCGTGAACGCTAACGTGTCTTACCGTGAACGTGTGTTTGTACGTGGAGCCGTGCTGGTCGCTGCTCTCACACATGTAGATCCCCGAGTCCTCCTCAGCGGTAGGCTGAATCTGAGGACGACAATACATGGTGGGTCTCCGGTCAGTGTTCAGTGTTCACCGCGGGCCGCCGGCTGTGCACCGATAGACGCGAATTCATCTAGCGTGCAGAATGCTGTAAGTAGCACGCGAATCAATGCCATCAGTTGACAGAATGCGGAACAACCGGGGAGCAGCAATGTAAAAGATGATATGTTGTTACAAGGAACCGCGATTGGTAAGACAGAAACCCGGAGGCCCTAGCGCTCGCACGGCACACCTACCGGCAGAGGTGGCCCGGGTCGGCCGTGCAGTGCCGGCGCCGTGCCTTACCGTAAGGATGTAGGCGCCGTTGTCCGATTTGAGCTGAAACCGGCTGTCACTGAGGATCAAGAACGAGTCGTGAGCCACCTCCATCTTACCATTCTCGTCTGTCGGCACACGGAGGGGAGGGGCGGGGTCAGTGACCTGACCGGGGTTACAGGGCTACCAGTCAGCTGTTGGGGAGGGGGGGGGGGGGCGGTCGCCACGCGGTCATTGGGTGGTCAGTCAGCGGGGGAGGGTTGGGGGTGGGGTCAGTGACCCGGGTCATGGTTACATCGCTCCATTCTTTTCTCCAACGTTTTCTGCCAAAACGTTTATTTTGATACTTTTTGCCTTTTGGGCAGTGTTCGCCACGGGCCCCAAAATCCCCAGCCCAGCCCGGCCCGGGCCCATGGGTTCAGAGCCCGGCCCAGCCCGTAGCCCGCTCTTGGCAAAATGTCCAAGCCCAGCCCGGCCCGGCCCGTCAAAAATAGCAATCTAGTTATTGTCTTAGTCTATTGCTATAATAAGCATGATTGATTACACTATTTTGAGAACAATTCAAATTGCATGAATATTAACATGACAATCATGACTCCCTTCTTTTCAATGAATATAATCATTTCAAGTACCTATGGCACAAATGTTAACAGTAACAGCAAGCACCTTAGTCAATTAGGTCATGATTACACACCTATAAAAAGTTAACATGATTATATTAACCACATTCTATGAGTAAAGTTATCTTGCAAGCTGATGTGTGTGAACATTATCATGCATAATTGGTGACTCTAATGCATACTTGAAGGAAGTATTTGCAACTTACTCTTTACTTCCCAGCACTTACCAGCAGAAAAAAAGCTTGACTTATGGGAATTGATGAATCTGTCTCATGTCTGGGATTGACCTTGCTGTTAAATTCACTCCATTGATGCTGCAATATCAAAAGCCTGAGAAAGCATACAGAATAGGTGACACTAGCTTTAGCACTGTCTTCCAAAAAAGAGAAAATCCATCCATTTATCAGCAAAACTGATTTAATCTATTTTCAATTCATGCCCACGTGTCAACCGAATCTCTGTGGACAACTATCTGCTGCTTTCCTTGCTATTTTATGTTAGGCTCTTTTCAAGATATGGATATCGCTAGCAGCGTAAACAGAAAACATGGTAAGTTTGAAATGTCATTGGGTACCTTTGCGACTTTTACGCATCATCATCATCAATTGAAAATGAGCGAACACTTCTTGATTGTCGCAGCTGCGGCAGGTAGCGATTCTGACCAATTGTATAATAAAACATATATAATCAAGTTCTTATTTTGTTTTTCGTTCGAGTTTTCAGACTTCGTGATCTAGGTTTTATTTTCTATTTGTTGCATTTTGTTTTTAAGCTTGATACTAACTTAAAAAACGTATTTATTTGATATACTGCTGTGTATACGAGTAGTAAAGTAATCTTGGTGTATACTACCACCTATAGATGCCGCCACATAAACATAGCGCTTGCATAGCGCCATGATGGGAAATTTTGTTGAGAAGTGGATGGGTTGTTGTTGTGATTTATTTTGACAAATTTATGGACATTTAAGGAAGCTTTCATCGCGAAATACTCTGTAGAATTTCTCGTTACTTACAGTGTGATTCGTGAGTATCCTTTTAAGGTTCTGTTCGTTAAAAAGCCGTCGGTGAAGGAAAAAAGACTGTGTTGGAATTGTCTCACTATCGCCATATATGAGTGTTCAACTTAATGTAGCCCTGTAGCCCATCATTGTTGAGTGGCTTCTTAGTTTTTGGAGTTGTAGTGCTAAGTAAGTTATTCTGATAACTACATTTTAACTTTTATTAACAAACTAATGATGCTGGAGATTCTCTGATCTTTTTGGTTGCGGAATTTTTATGAAAACCCTCCTATGTGTGACATGATGTGATATTGGATAATTCTCAAGATTCCCAAAATTCAATATGAAGTAGGTTTTCTTTCACATTGCTTAAATTTGGTTTAGTTTTAGTATTTTCCCAGTGGGTTTTGTTTGCATCAGTTTCCAAATTTTCTTAAATTGACAGTCGCAAAACCCATAGTCCACAAAGCTCTTGGCCCGGCCCGTCCATAGCCCGTTAACTAATGATATTTGGGGGCCCGGCCCAGCCCGTAGCCCAGCCCGGCCCATGGCCCGTTGGGCTGGCCCGGCCCGTGGCGAACACTGCTTTTGGGGAGCAAGAGCTCTAATGCAAATTTCTGCTAAATCACACAGCAAATAATAAATACCTATAAATGAGCCGTAGCTCGAAGCACGAAGGCCCACCGTTTCTGGTAAAACGTGCCCCAGTATGACTGAAGTAAGCTACCACGCGAATTAGGATCCATTCAATGTTGGTTATTATCTTAGACGACCGTGTTTATGTGCCTGTGAGGACCGTTTCATTTCACGACCCTGTAACACTGCCGTGTGTGTTATGCTCTCTGCAGCCATACCAGGTATTCAATCTCTGTCATCTTAACAGGCCTATCGCCGGGTCAGGCGGCCGGTCAGCCGAGCAGTGCTGGGGACGGGTGGCGCAAACTGGGATCTGGCAGTGGGATCAGATGTCGGGTCAGCACTCCTTTTACCTTAGTACCTACTTTTTCTTACTAGATGTTTAGTCAAATACTGAGAAACGGCCCGCAAAAGACCTCAAATGACCTAACAGCTCACGCTATTCAATGTCTCGCCGATATACGCGTATATCGGTCTTGCTCTTGCCGTTCCGTATCGGGCATGCCTGGCTACCATATATGTTTCACAATGATGTACCGGCACCAGGCAGAAGTCAGACGCCGCGATGTGACGTCACGGCGTCTCATGACGTCACAGGGGGAAAACAGAGCGGGTCGTCCTCGGCTGGCACCGCTGATAACCAGTTCGGTCCGGTTTTAAAGGTAGAAGGGAGGCTAAGTAGGTGCCGTCGGCCGCCCCTGTGCTTCGCTGTTCTGGTCACGGGATACCCGGGAAGTGAGAGAAATGTCCGAACTTCACAGAATCACCGAGACTTTATTTGTGAAACGATGGGTCTTGGGAAGGTCATCTGCTTACGCTAGGTATTCACCCGGCACGTTATTGGCACATCGAGAGGGTACGTAAATGCGCAGTGCACGGAACCAAACGACTGGATCAACAAACCTCATGTTGAACCTATATATGAAAAGATGAGTGCCAGCGCTATGAATAATAAAAAGTGCCAACCACGCCGTTATATCGCCACATCCCTCTCAAAATAAAGGTCTTCCATCACTATTTTGTGATGTTTTATTCGCTTTCTTATCGACGGGCTGTGTCTGAGTGGCTCCTGGCGGTACCGTTATTGGTCTGGGTCGCATCACCGGTCGTCCTGTGAGGCCTCGCCCTCAGCCGCCCCGACCAAGGAGCCCAGACCGCGGCAGCGACGGACGCCGCACCTCTTACAGACCTCCTGACCCACTCCCGAGCTACAGTGACCCGTGGGAGCCCGCACAGCAGCGGGCGCCCGCAGACGCCGGTCACACTTCTCCAGCCTCCACAGGACAACCAGTCAGGTCCTGGACAGTCGCGCGGGCTCTCAGATATCTTATTGATACCTATATAGGCAGTAGGCACTTACAGGCATCCTACAAAAAATGCCAACGATTGATGTTGAGCGTTATGGCCTCAACCAGCCATCGTTATATTTCATTGTGTAAATAATTAATGGCGATACATATGTTGAGAACTTATCATTGTTCCAAGCCTTGTGATTAATCGAATTAAAGAACAAATGTCACTGAAGTAATCTCGAAACTAGAAGAGTTCAACAGTTCAACAGCTCGTAAAGCAAGAGGCATTAATCTTTAACCCTATTAGTGGCAGGCTCCTGGCTACCCCATATTAGTGGCAGGGGGGGGGGGGGCTGTTTACGACCCCCCCTTGATATCTCGAGATCTAACGGGCCGATTTTCAAAATTCAAACGGCATTCGATTTGGCTCAACGAGATCTACATTTCTAAAAAAAATAAAATTAAAAAATGTCAATAGGGGGGTAGAGGGGGGTAAAAAAGGGCAAATTGCAGATACATTTTAGACTGTTTATCACGGCCAGGTTTCTGAACCAATCTTAACGCAACTTTTGCCGATCGATAGAGAATGAACCAGGAATTTACATGGATCCTAAAAATATACATTTTCAAAAATCATAGGCGGATACAGATCATTGAGATTGGGGGTACACAAAAAGTATAGTAATTAAGGTTTTTGTTGGTACTGTTTCTAAAAAGGGTGGCAATGGTCTTGTTATGTTACAATTTTCTTATGAGAGAACGACTAAAATTGTATTGGTCATGCATAGGCGGTGTCAGGGCACCTATGTTGGGAGGTAAAAAATAACCCCCCTTTTTGGACGCCTGGATCCGCCTATTATAGCAAAAACGTGTCAAAAGAGGATGCACAATAACTTTGTATATGTTATCACATGATACCTTTCATTCACTGTTCGTAAAACTGGTGCAGCATCGTGATCTTCGCCCAAATGACTCGCTTCACGAATAGGACCCCCCAATTCCCAGTGCTCTGGAGCCGCCCCTGGTAAAGTTATGAACTTGAAATTTTCAGGGAATGTGCCCGATTTAGTTTTAGGAAAAGTCAGAAAATTTCAGCATCGTAGCTTCAGCGGTTTCGGAGATATTCCCGAAAAACCTGAGGGGTGGATAAAAACAACCCCCCCCTGCCACTAATAGGGTTAAAGGGAGTTAGCACACAAACTTACGAACGCTTTAATCTGGGTAAAATTCCAGCGCCATATTGCATGTATGTCCTAAGACCCCTGACTAATGCCCAGTGCGCTATTTCATCATAGCCCCATAACCGGATCGAGCGTCCATTCCTGGCAGCACGCCAGCTCCGCTGTTGACCTGTCGAGCAAGGGCGACGCGGCTTCGAGAGGAGAGAGCGAGAGCGACGGCGACCCGAGTTGCTGCTCTCTGGCGGAGGTGACCTCTACCAGGCGGCGGCACGGGTGACCTCTACCACACCGCGCGGCACGGGTGACCTCTACCACACCGCGCGGCACGGGTGACCTCTACCACACCGCGCGGCACGGGTGACCTCTACCACACCGCGCGGCGCGGGTGACCTCTACCACACCGCGCGGCACGGGTGACCTCTACCACACCGCGCGCGGGTGACCTCTACCAGGCGGCGGCGCGGGTGACCTCTACCACACCGCGCGGCGCGGGTGACCTCTACCACACCGCGCGGCACGGGTGACCTCTACCACACCGCGCGGCACGGGTGACCTCTACCACACCGCGCGGCGCGGGTGACCTCTACCACACCGCGCGGCACGGGTGACCTCTACCACACCGCGCGCGGGTGACCTCTACCAGGCGGCGGCGCGGGTGACCTCTACCACACCGCGCGGCACGGGTGACCTCTACCACACCGCGCGGCACGGGTGACCTCTACCACACCGCGCGGCACGGGTGACCTCTACCACACCGCGCGGCACGGGTGACCTCTACCACACCGCGCGGCGCGGGTGACCTCTACCACACCGCGCGGCGCGGGTGACCTCTACCACACCGCGCGGCACGGGTAACCTCTACCACACCGCGCGGCGCGGGTGACCTCTACCACACCGCGCGGCACGGGTAACCTCTACCACACCGCGCGCGGGTGACCTCTACCAGGCGGCGGCGCGGGTGACCTCTACCACACCGCGCGCGGGTGACCTCTACCACACCGCGCGGCACGGGTGACCTCTACCACACCGCGCGGCACGGGTGACCTCTACCACACCGCGCGGCGCGGGTGACCTCTACCACACCGCGCGGCACGGGTGACCTCTACCACACCGCGCGGGGAGACATGGGACATGACAGGCTAAGCCGGCCAAGCCGCTGCACCGTCACAGAGGAGTCCTACACCAACTGCACCGACCGGCTCGGTGGACCGGCCGGCGGGGTCGTGCGTGCCACCGCACTGCGTGTTCAACGTGCACCGTGCACAGCTCAGTGTGCACACCGCACGGTGCAATGTGTGCACGTTGGGAGCGAAGTTGCGGGCGGACGCCGGCGGGTGGCCTGTGCGGCTTGCGAATGCGTCGTGCAACCTTGAATCGTGCGGCGACAGCCACCCCACCCCCTCAGTACCCCCTCCCCACCGTTCCACAGTGACGTGCCGCCCTAACCGACCGGTGTCCCCACGCGGCGGAACTGGCGGTGACGGGGTCTGTCAGCAGGAACCTGTTCGGCCCTCCCCCGCACAGGGGTGGGCAGGAGCCACCTGTCTGCTCAAGGGGGACCGTGTCTGCCGCGGAGGACTCCGCTCGCCCCTCTCCAGCATGGGGAGCGAAGCCGAACAGGGGACCACCTGTCTCATCACGGGGATCGCGCCTGACGGCGACATTTAGGAGCGGCAGGAGCGAGTCATCAGCACCGACTGTGCACCGTTACGGGCCCCTGAACTTTGAGCACAGGACCGGGCTGAGAGGGCGAGACTGGATGTGTGGGTGGACTGTCGGCTGGTTCCGCCGCTCACACAGCCGCTGTTTGTATGTACCGGAGGCTATGGACCGGCACGATCCGGCCAATATCGACCGCCATTCAGATGCCGGAACAGGCACGGCCGAGCGGATATACATAGAAGTGGGGGAGGAGCTTTGGCGTATTTTGAACTCAGCATGTCAAGGCTCCGATACAAGAGAAGCCGTAGAAGCAGGAGAGGACCCGCAATACTAAAAGATGTAGCTTTTTCTAAGCATCCTACTTTTTTAGCCATCGGGATAAACAAAACATCAAGTACCCACATAACTACGCTATGCATTGAAGAGAATGGCGTTTTTTGTTCATGTAACTTTCGTCAAACCGTCTCATCGTAGAGGGGATGGCTATTTAGCGTTCCTCCTATTGAATAATCAGAGGGCTTGTGAGCTAAGAAACGTCTGTTCAATGTCTCATTTTATGCACACATTTAGACGCTACATCTAAACACACTTTTCATTCAGGACTGATCGGCTACAGACTAACTGCTGCATGGTTACGAGTTACGCCACAGGCCAGTGTCGGTGACAGTGCCGTTACCGCACCCCCAAGCGGGTGACCTGCAGCGGGTGTCTCCTCACCTTGTTTGTACCAGAGCACCCGGCCCCCGGGGTGCACCGAACACTGGATGGACACCATGCCGCCCGGTGCACTGTTCACTGTCGACTCCGTCTGCGCATGGTCGTTGAAGCCCGGCTTCTGACCTGCGGGCACACAGGTCACAAAGGTCACAAAGATCATAAGGATCAGAGAGTTCTCAAAGGTCACAAAAGTCAGAAAGGTCATATAGGTCACAAAGCTCACAAATCTCACAAAGCTCACAAAGCTCACAAAGGTCACAAATCTCACAAAGGTCACAAAGATCATAGAGGTCACCAGGGTCCCAAAGGTCACAACGCGGAGGTGCTGGCTTACAGACTCAAACGGGATAACCTGGCATCAGCATCCCAGACGGCATCGACGAACGATCAAAGGAAAACGGACAAACATGAGTCCAGTGCATGCCGTCCATCACCAGAAACAATAAACCAACTCATGTCCAGTTGGCGTACATAAAGTCGCCGCAAACGATGATACGCTCGTCAGAGACGGCGAATTTCTAACGATCGCTGCCGAGTGTAATGCATGATGCAATCCGTGCGGTACGAACGTTACCTCACTGGGTGAACAGAATTGGTACCCTGGGAAAATGGCATTGACTTGTCTCAGTCTCTCTCACTCAGCCATTTCTCTCAGCATGCCATAGCTCCCATCTACCGCTGCAGTTGAAATACTGACCCGCTTTCCAAAAATCTGTTTTTTTCACTTAGCTGCATCAGCTGCCACAGCTAAAATACGGATTTGCTTTCCAATAGAACCGTTATTCACTTCGCATCACAGCGTAATTTATTTTCAGTCCGGCGGCCAGTGCACTGGCCGCCGAAGTCACTCCTTTCCCTAAACGCTGCACTATAGCCCTCGCCGGGCGAGGGCCTTTTCAATTACACGGACGGCGAGGGGGGGACTGGTACGACCCCCCCCCCCCTGGCGATTGGCTCCTATGGCACTTAGAATTAGAAACGGCAAATTTACAGGGTAGGTGGCTCCATAGGAGATCTTGCCCCCGTGAAAATTTGGTGACCCTAAGTCAATATTTAGGGGGTTTTTGGGGGTATTAGTGCGAAAATATCACTAAAACATGTCCAAAGTTGTTCGCTTATAACATTTTACCTAGTAAAGATAGAGCAAAAATAAAAGCACCAGTGAATTCAGGACGTCCTTGCGCATCGAATGATATATTTTGTAACCATTTTAAATAAGCTTAATATTTTCTTAAAAATCAAGTGAACTTAAAGCAATTAATTACGTTTAAATTGATCAAAATGCATCATATCGCACAACATTCGAACCGCCTGATCACAAAGAACACAACAACACCGTTTTTGAAGCTTTAGCCTCATTGTGTGCCAAGTTATTAGCAAAAACGTAGTTTGACCTTGGTTGACCTCAGTTGACCCGACCCAAGCGTTCTTGTAGCTTGCAAACACCAAGTAGATGTAAATCAAGGTAGTACAAGACAAAAACGTTAAAAGAAAGCACACATCTCTTATCTTTACACATTCGGGCAACTTTCCTTAAAAATTGTCATGACCTCGAGATGACCTCAGGTCAACCGAATTCGAAAAAATTGGGTGTATATGATGCCACTCGGTGACCTAAGCATATCCTGCAAGTTTGAATCAAATCGATGAAGAACTGTTTCCATGAACAAAGTAGTGCATTTTTAGTGCCATTTTGACTATGTACCGGTTTTTGTGACCTTGTGACCTGACCTCAGGTCACTGGAATCCAAAACTCCCAGGTCAAGTGTCAAATAGATGCCCCAAGTTGTGGCTGAAATTTGGTAGCGCTACGTGCCATAGCACCCACGCTATCAACGAATAACTCTGTCATTCAGTTGCCGCTAAACTATGTAGTCCAATTTTCCCCTGACCTTGTACCGGTTTTTGTGACCTGGTGACCTGACCTGAAAAGACTGTGACTTGAAATTTTCAGGACAGGTGCAGAAAGGTTGCCCTAGAGGGTATGCCTAATTTGTAGCGCCTCCGTTTTTGCGTTATTTGCGAAAAACCTTGGGGGGGGGGTGCATCAACCCCCCTCGCCGGGCAAGGGATAGAAGAGGTGATTTGTTATTTTACCGACAGTATCGCCACAATGTATAGGAACAGAAAAGTTAAGTTTTTTTATCTCTCATATCGATATGCTACGGCCGTCGGATGGTGCACCTCCCACTCCAGGCCAGGCGTCTGGCGCGACACCCGGCCACCGACAGAGACTATGTTTACCAATCAGTAACGGCTGGGCCTGCCGTCCAATGAGAAACGGCGTATCAGGGGCCACTGCCAGTCATTGAACAGACAACTAAAAGACAAAATTGCCACTGTAAAGCTATTGATTGACGGCACGCTCACATGACGCTTTTCACTCCATGCTCACGGCTTCATCTGTACCTGCGTGTGCTGAAAATAAAACAAATAAAAATAAAGAACACAGTACATACATAGACGACAGAACAATTTCGCCTTCTAACGTGCCTCGCTCTCCATACGTATTTCACCGATAACAGAAGGTGAAGGCACTCAACTTTCTCAAACAAAGAAATACAAAACGGCGACAAACGATTTTATTCGATCGATTATCGTTAGTTGGTGTGCACCTCCTGAAGGCTTTTGTAATTCCCAGCATGAATACAATTATCTTTTAACGAATTGATTTAGGTACATCCATCGCTACGCTAAGGACTGGTTGGCAATGGTCCGACTTGCAATTGGCAGAGGTCCTTGTACGAAAAAAACGCAGTGGGCCAACTGAAAGAACTGAAGTAAGAACGTCAGTAGTCTGTTCCGCCACGGATCAGTGTACTGCGGTACAGTCTACCAACAGGCGACATCTCCCATGACAGCCATTCACTGCGAGGTAGACTGCGCCGCACGCAGGGATGCCCGGCGGCACAGCCTACCGCCCTGCAGCTTTATCGGGCCGACTCCGACCATTTATAAAAAGCAATCAAATCGAATTGAAGAAACCGGTATTATCATAAGCGAGATAAACCTCTTAGTCTATCACTGTCATATCACATGCTAATAACAATCGTCTCCTTATTGCACAGTAACGAATCCACATACCCATGACAAATTTATATGGACTGAAAAGCTAAGAATGATTGGGATCTTATGGTATGTGTGTATGCTGTATAACTTATAAGTAAACAAACTGCTGACATTACGTTAATGACAACTAAATACATAATTGAACGATATGTTTGCGTTTTATTTCATTGGGCCGGACATGTGACCTAATGCCCATGGAGATATAGAGATACCTATCTATAATGTTTAGTGTTATAGCGAGTATGCGGAAAGCACTGGTTTTATCGATTAAATTATGGTTGCATAGATAAGTCTTCTCTCCCGGCCTTCTATTTGATTTCTATAAAAAAATGCTTGAAGGTTGGTATGTACTTACCTCAAACATACCTATATCAGACAGCACACGCGACCGAATATGCACTATGTGTTCATGTGCAAACATTATCGGCGCATGTACCGGGCTTCTCACAAAAGTCGGACGAATTTATAATTAATATATTTTAGGGTGTGTCAGTGTTACAAAAATAAATCAGGTATCATCTGAAAGCCTGGTTAAAAATATTTTGTTTCGGGGGATTTCGACCGTCGGCGATCGCCTTACTGAGCCTTGCCGGACCTGTTCGAGATGACCCCCGTTTCGCTCGACGCACAGTTAAGCCCCGCGCAGCGCGGCCTCTGTTGCAGCACGGCACGCGAAAGGTGGCAGGCTGCGCACCGCCGACCTCATTGCACCCTTCAGGTCTTTCGGACTTCTTGGGTGGTTTCGGTACACCTGGGACTTGAGGTGGTCCTAAAGGAAAAAGTCCGGTGGGGTCAAGTCCGGGGAGCTCGCTGGTCACGGATGTGTCTCAAACCTCGAGATCACACGCTGCCCGGAGCGCTCCTGCAGCCACTCCCGGTTTTATTTAGCGGTATTGGCCGTGAAAACGTCTAGCTGGAACTATTGGCATTTGAGTGGTTCAGGATCGCTGCCCATTGTGGTCTGCAGGACACTCCAAACATTTGTCAGGGTTATCCGGTATCGCTGACCGTTGACAGCCTGGGTATAGCGCATCTCTCACACGAGCGACGTTCGCCGGGCTTCTTTGATTAGGTTTGCGGCCGCCGCTATGTTCTTTGAACCCGCAGTTAACATTTCCTCGAGCCAGAAACTTTCAACAACGTGGAAAATAGCATTTGAAGATGGTGCTTACTTTGCACAAAAAAAGATTGCGGAAGTTCCGTTGTGTTGAAACGACCGACTTATTCTGAAAGTAGAATTTCTTTGAGTTTGCTTTTGCGTCTTAAGACCACTGTCTCATTTTTGAAACTCAACAAGTATGGTATCATATAAATCTCCTAAAAATTTGCTTTCTTTTCACGTGCATTTGTTTCGTTTAAATATTGTTTCCAGTTCATTATCCGCAAAAGAAATTGGTCCGACTTTTGTGAGAAGCCCGGTAGTTCGCATGTGCATATACCGTTACCTGGTTCTCGATAGGGCCTCTGCAGCACCCTTTATCAGAGGCACGACCCAAGGGACCGGCCCGCCCCGCCCGCACGGTCTATCCGGCGTCCTCTCACACCGGCAGCTCGGGGCTCCTCTGATCGCTGCTGAGTCAATGCGTCCGCGCAGCGTGGCAACAGTCCCTTTAAACTGGCCGTCTTGGATCGAGTCGCTTCACAGAAGTTCATGAATAGTTGATCAGCGTGCCGGAGACGGACGGACCCTCTGCGTGTTTTCAGTGGCGACATATAGTTCGCCGCCAGGTCCACTCGGGCACGTAAATGTTCGAGGAAGAATGTCAGAGACTGAAGAGACAAGGGTGGAAGATGTTCTGTGGCCAATATTGTATGCAGAGGTCGCGTGTAAGTGATCACTATCTTTTAATGGCAATGTCTGATGAATGCGCGCCAGTTTCCGGGAAAGATGGCAGCTCGGGATGTTTGACAGGGCCGCAGGTACCCCGTCAGCTCAGCGAGCAGGGAGCCCGCTGTCCTCCGACGCCAACCCGACCTCACTAGATCTGCGCCGGGCGGCGGCACGTGACCCGCCGCATGGCGTCCTGTGCGGGTCACGTGACCGCGCGCCGGCCGCGTCGCTCCAAGATTACCGTTACGCTGCAGCGTGAGTTCTACATATTCCGAGGGCCGCGGCGGCGCCGGCCGCCCGCTCCCGATTGTACCGGAGCGACCGCCGGGGACTAGCCAGCTGCCGCATAGAAAGTCCCAAGGTCGCAGCTCAACCCGTTCAGCGGGACGAGCTGCGGCGTAGCGCGACACATTTGTGGCGCATTTGCAGCGCCAGGTCTTATTGTGGCGTGATCTCGGAGCGGCATGTCATCTGACGTCCATGCACCGGCTTTGGCGAGAACGACAATGAAAAGCTTTCGCCCAACAAATGATGATTTCACCGTGGAAATCCCAGCTTCTTCAGTAATGTGACCACTGCACTGACCAGTTATGTGCCGACTGTAATTACAAATCACGGTCTGCACGTGAAGGTGTGCAGTGGTGGATCGAGGGGAGGGGCGACTAGGGGCTTACCCCCAGGCCCAAAGCTGCATAAATGTAATTTCGATTAAAAATTACATTCAGTTGCTTATAACCAGCCAACGTGACAAACTCAACTCTGTTATTCCGCGCTCAGAGATTGCTCCCAAACCCGGGAGGCGCCAAAGCATGGAAGCTCCCATTTCCGGGAAGGAAAGTTCCGAGAAGAGGCGTCGCTGGCCCCTCGAGGGAGATGATAGCAGCCGTCTTTAGAAGGTGTCCAGCAAGTCCGTATCAGCCGACATGGAACTGAGCCATAAACATGGGGCATCACTATCGGCTGTCGACAATCGGTATTCTCAGTTCACAAATGTAAGTACGTCCACGACCAAGAAAGAAGACACCAAAAGATATTATATTACTGTCTATAGGCATACCTACTTACTACCTACCTAAAATTCTTGTTGTTGTTGTTGATGTTCTTAACATGAGCGTTGGATGACATACGATCAATTCTGTTTTTCAGCCTTTTCAATATGAGCACAATAAACAATATCTGTGTTTGGAATAACTCGTTCAAAGGGTGCGCAGTTTCATAACAATTTTCCATTGGATCATGATAGAGAGGTCGCAAAATTGACCTGAACTTAGGTCATTGACCTATATAAAAAATATTAACCCTCGCCGGCACAGGCCATTTTGCGTCCTTAGACGGCACAAGGGGGAGGGGGGGGGGGGTACGAACCCCGCCCCTCGCGTTTGTCTCCTGATCGAGATAGAGCTTCACAAAAAACGAGCGTGCTGCCCGTCACGAGAGGAAGCCGACGCCCGACGATACCCAATTTTAAGGTCCCAGGTCATCGGTTGACCTTCCAGTTCAGGTTAATGACCCAAAAGTTTGGAAAAACGGTTACTTGTTAGGAAGTCGTTAAGTGCTGCTGCTAATTGGGGGTTTTCGGGGTGCTTATCATGAATATTGTGTTATTTTTTTTTTATCACAGATGATGTCTTTAAGCATTTAGACCAGGTCGGATCAGGTCAGGTCAGGTCAGCCGGTAGGGGTCGTGACGGGTATTCGTAGTATGTGTCAACCGCCTCTGACAGCTTCGTAACATGTTACGATGGCACCAACACTACTTCGTAAATTATCAACTGGTTGCTAAATTCGAATTCAGCTCCAAAAACTAGCCTATATAGAAACTGACATGTAAAACACGAAAAAGTGAACCGAGGTCACCAACGGTCAATGACCTGACGTAACCTTCAGCTGACCTTGGCATCCACAATTATGCATGGGAGCAACATCAAGTCACACGTTTGAACGTTTGAAACCACGAAAAGCTTGCAAACGCGCGGCTAATGCGAGTCGACATACGCCGAATCGCGATTCCGGCCAAACATGGTCTCGGAAAGTAGGTCACAGGGCAAAGGTCATGTGGGTCAGGGTCATAAAAGTTGTAGGGTATGTGTAAAATTGATCAATACGAGGGTACTGAAAGTTTCGTCGCGATCGGCCGCTTTTTACGCGAGTTATTCGCGAAAAAAACCTTAGGAGGGTTGCATCAACCCCCTGTGCCGCCGAGGTTTAAGGTTTCAAATCTCTTACCACTCATGTCCATCGCTGACAGACGAATGAGTCGCTCAGTCGGGCAGCTAGGGCTGGGGCGAGCATTTAACATTGCTCGTCTTACATTACTTAAATCTGCTGACGTGGCCCGGCGACCTGGCCTTTATATGACCTTCATATAACATATTTGTCATAAAATGCACTAAAAAGATGCGTGGTAAGGTGTGTTGAAAAGGGCGGCGGGAAAACCGGCATGGGTAGAATCGCAGGGGGCGGGGGGGGGAAGGGGGGGGGGGGGGGCGCAAAATGCACCCTCCCGCCAAGGCACGAGTTTTTATGCAAAGAACGTTGAGCACCTTTTATTCCAAGATCAACAGTTGTATAGTTAAGATCCAAGGTATCTGATTCTCATTACTATGGGCGACCTTCCTTTTACGTTAGTTCATTGTTTCCTGTAACCTTCCCTGTCCAGTGTCGACCAAGTTCCTGCGTGGTGGATTTCAGTCCTAGTCCTTTTAAACGACACAGTTTCCTTCTAGGTACATCAGATGGTTCACAGCAACGTATGGTTTTCCTGAATTGTCGCCGCACCGCAGCGCCAAGAAAGTGTGCATTAAATGGTCTGTTTCACTTTCCATTTAGATGCTTTTGCAATTTGCATTGTGTGACCGTCTGAAACAGGAAGCTATTGAATCGGTGATTCAGCCGATATAAGAAGCATATTACTGATACATTTCAGTTTTAATTGATTCTTCGATATATAAGTGCATCGCTATCACATTTATGAGAATTACTGGCTTTGTGAATAGACGGCATCGGTCCTTCAGTCAAACCACTAGAGGCTGGCCTGTCCTGAGAGCTATGATAGGTTTATCTATAAGAACGGCCCCTCCTTGAGACCCCGTTCCGAGCCCCATTTCCGCGAGAGGTTTGGCCACGGTCTGTCTAGCTAGCATGACCCAGGTCATTATTCCGTCTACCGTCCAATCCAATTTCCATACATCCGATCTGCGAGTCAACCACAACACAGCCATTTGCTTTTGTCACACAGCGCACCTTTGAGCTATTGCTGGTTTACTGGCGTCCCCCAGCCCTGCGTTATAACGCCTTTGCGACGCCAATCTGGTCCAGCAGCCCGGAACGCTGACCTTGGCATTGCAAACGACGCCCAATTACGGTACGCCGCGGTTTGGCGCGGCCCAGGTGTGCCCGCGGTCCTACGCACCAGCCGGCGAGGTCAACCCACAAGGTCGGAGGAGCCCATGAGTCCCGAGTTCTGACACTCACCGGAGACGATTCCGCAGAGCGCCAGCACCACGGCGCACCGGAGCTCCATCGTGCCTCTGCTCGACTGGGCGCCGCGACCGCTCGGCCACCCGGCGCCGCCTCCGCCCACCTCAGCGTGTGTGGTGACGCCGCGTCGCCGCCGCTCGCGCCGCGCCGCCAGGCCCGCGGAGCCCGGACGCGACCGCACCTGGCGGCGGGACGGTGAACTACGCCGCCGTCCCGCGACTCCCGCAGCTGCAGGTGTTGCTGGTGCACGCTGCAGATGTTGAGAAGCATATAGTCGGGCCTCGGCCTGGTGGTATACGGCCTTCGTTCTCGCCAAACGGCTCTGCTGCAGAGATCCCTGCCGACTCATGGCCTGATTCGAGGTCCAAACAGGTTGTAGAGTTTAGACCTTGTAGCGGTGAAGATCATAGATTATAGATATGGTGAAGACTGAAGACCCAGTGGCTTTCTCACTGTCCCAGGGCCAGGATAGGAAGCAGCAAGTTTCACCGCGCTCAAGATGACGTGAAAAATCGCTGAAGCGAGCATGAAGCTGTTTGACAATATATATATATATATATATATATATATATATATATATATATATTATTTATTTCTCAGAAGATTCAATAATGTTTAGATAAACTCAGCCTTTTTCCGGACAGTTTCGTGACTTGTATTGTCACTGCGTCGGCGGTTATACGAGCTTGCGTGGGCAGTGGGACAGTGGGCAGTGCAGGGGGCTGCAGTGTGGTATTTTGCAGTAGCGGCGGAACACCTTCAATCAAAGGGGGGCACTGCCGACTTTTGGTCCCATTCTTTCCATGCAACGTCCATAGGGCTAATGTTAAAATGCCAAAATCAAAGGGGGGCACGGTGCCCCGGTGCCCTCCCCGTTCCGCCGCCTATGGTATTTTGATTTTAAGCACAGTGGGATGATTTGGGTAAGGTTGGTTTTTGATGGTTTTACGGGGCTGTTGGAGCTGCCAGTTTGGCCCAATTGCGGAAGCGGTCGCCATTCTCTGGCAGCCAGTTCTGTGAGTGGGATTCAACTTGGAGCTTTGACGGTGCTCGTAGTTTCATTGAATCCGTCCATGACCAGGTTGCTCCGCTCTGTTTGTGTTGCCTCACCATTCCCTATGAATTCTTTCGCTGACCTAGATGACCTAGATGCCAAAAAATCTGCAGTCTGGATGAGGAGTCAGCGATATGTATACCTATGTGGCGCGTGTTTTCTAATTTCTTGTGTAATTTCAACTCTGTTTATTTTTATAGTGTGCAACGCAAGCTCGTTGTTGTGTTGGTCACTGACCTTTTATGTCAGAGGTCACTAACCTCATAAGAGGTATCCGTGTTTTAACTGTACGTGCCGAGAACGCGATATTTTATCTGAGAAAATTTGAGCGTTCTCTCGGCACAAACTGAAAACTGAACGGTGTTATAATTTGGTCTTGAATATGTAAGGCACTTGAATACAGGAATTAAACTAAACGAACTCTAAGTTACAACATAATGGCGACGAGGATGAGATATTAATTAAGTAGAGTAACGTAACGTCAGATATCGAGTGTTATCATGATAATTTTTATTTGAGAGAAGATTGGTGCAAAGTAACTTAACAGACGTTTGATTGAGTTGGAGTGAGGCTGAACGGTGAACTGAGTCGCGACTGTTGCGTATAATTGAATATATCACTGTGGACCCGGAACAGGCCACAGCAAGTAAATATGGCGCTCAGTCTCAGCACTCCAGAGAAGTTCCATGAAGGTGAAGACTTCGATATATGGCTAGATGGATTTGAAGTGTACCTGTGTGCTTTAGGCATAGAAGAAGTGACTCGGAAGAGAGCACTGCTGCTTCATTTACTGGGCACTGACATCCAACAGAAACTAAAGGATATGGCTGAAATTGAATCCGATTCAGCACTGCCAAATGACTATGAACGCACCAAAGCAAAGCTGAGACGTATTCTTAAACCCCAGGTCCGAACTCTGTACGAAAGGAACATATTCCACAACATGACCATGATGGACCGAGATGAAAATATTAGAGATTTTGTGGGGCGCTTGAAGAAACAGGCAGAGAAGTGTGACTTTACTCGGGAGCAGAAAACTGAGCTCATTCGTGATATGATAATCTCACGGTGTCCGCACTCTTCGCTGCAAGTCAGAATGCTTGAGGCACAGCACCTGACGGCAGAAGATGCAATCAAAATGTGGGAGTCGTTTCTGCAGGTCCGAGTACAGGCAAAGAAACTTCAAGAGATGAATCTGACAAAAGAAGTCAATCCGAGTCCGGAGCAGGAGCCGAAGAAAGAAGGAGAGTCGGCCTACCGAGTCGTCGGTGAAAAAGGCCAGAAAAGTCCGTTCCAACACGGCGACAGAAAAGGCGGACAAAGTCGAGGCCCATGCTACCGATGCGGAAGGAGTTCGCACAAAGCGAGTGACTGTTTAGTCACCAGAGGGAAAACGTGCAACAAGTGCGGAGGCAAGAACCATTTTGCCAAGATGTGCAAAAGCCGCCAAGATGATGGACCGAGCTACAAGCGGCGAGTGAATGCCACAAGAGACGAAGTCGAAGCAGATCGGACAATGAGTGATTTCGACGACTTTGCGTTCACGTCCGAGAGCAGCAGCGCTGACGGACGTGGCACACTGACCTCAGTGCAGCTAAACGGTCAGACTGTGAGGGTTTTGGTTGACACAGGAGCCTCAGCAGATATTATAACAAGAAAGGACTTCAAAACACTGGTCGGTTTCAAGACAGTGAAGACCAATCGGCGTCTGCTGCCGTATGGCTCGAAGATCCCTCTGAAGCTGGATGGTCAGTTCTTGGCGACAACGGCGGTGAACGGCAGAGAGGTCCAGAGCTGCTGGCTGATCGCGGCCCACGGCCAAGTTTCGCTTCTGAGTGGAGTAACGGCGGAGCTGCTCGGACTGATATCCACCGGGAAACACGTCAATCAAGTAGCGGAGAACGGCAGCCAGCGCCTATCACTCGAAGCGATTCTGAAGGAGAACAAGGATGTGTTTGAAGACAAGTTAGGACAACTGGCTGACGTAAAGGCCCATTTGAGGCTAAAGGAAACGGCAGAGCCCGTTTTCAAGGGAGTTAGAACGGTCCCATACGCCCTGCAAGACCAAGTTGAGAGCGAGCTGAAGAAATGGGAAGACAGTGGAATTGCTGAGAAGATCGAATATTCTGACTGGGGAACGCCACTGGTGGTGGTTTCGAAGCCCGGAGGAGGCATCAGGATTTGCGGTGACTACAAGTGCACTGTGAACCCTCAGCTTGAGGTTCCGAAACATCCAATGCCAACCTTAGAAGACATTCTGGCAAAGCTGCCAGATATGAAGTTGTTCTGCAAGTTGGACCTCAGCACAGCGTATTTGCAGATGACGCTGGACGAAGAGAGCCAGAAGATGACGGTGCTGAACACTCCGAGGGGACTGCTGAAGATGAAGCGGTTACCATACGGGATAGCAGCCTCTCCAGCTATATTCCAAAGCACGATGGAGAAGGTGCTTGAAGGCCTTCCAGGAGTGACATGCTTCCAAGATGACGTCCTTGTAGCGGGACCAACAGAGGCTGAAACATTAGAGCGGTTAAGTGAAACGCTGAAGCGACTGAAGAAGTGGAAGCTCGTCCTAAAAAGGAAAAAGTGCGAGTTCATGATGAAGTCGATTCGGTATCTTGGAGTGGAACTCAGCGGTGACGGCGTGAAACCAGTGAAGGAGAAGGTGACCCCGGTGTTGGACGCTCCCAGACCTCGGAACACGGGCGAGTTGAGAAGCTTCCTGGGAGCTGTGACCTTCTACGCCAGATTTGTGGCTGCCATGTCGAAAGTGGCAGCGCCGCTGCACAGACTGCTGAAGAAGGGCCAAAAGTGGAAATGGACGGCGACTGAAGAAGCCAGCTTCAACGAGCTGAAGAAGAGGCTCACTCAAGCACCCGTCTTGGCACATTATGACGGACGGAAGCCAGTGCGTTTGATCACGGACGCCAGTCCGTATGGCTTAGGAGCCGTTCTCGTGCAGGTGGACGGAGACGGGAACGAGAGGCCTGTCAGATTTGCCTCCAGAAGCCTATCCACAGCCGAGAAGAATTATGCCCAGGTCGAACGGGAAGGGCTGGCCGTTATCTTCGGTGTGAAACGGTTCCGCCAGTACCTGTGGGGCAGAAAGTTCTCATTAGTAACCGATAACAAGCCACTGACAACGATGCTGGGACCAAAGACGCCAGGCCCTGCTCTAGCAGCTGCCCGAATGCAAAGATGGGCGTTGATTCTGGCAGAGTATATCTATGATGTGGAGTACAGAAAAGCAGCAGACATTCCCATGGCTGACTTCTTGTCTCGTTTGCCAGTTCCGGGAGCAGAGGAGACTGACAGGATCACAGATGAAGCTTCAGTGTGCTTCCTGGAGCAGTGGGACAGGATGGCGCCACTCACCTGTGAACACGTCAAGAGGGCCACTGGTCGAGACAGAGTTCTATCAAAGGTGGCACAGTACCTCCTCAGCGGCTGGCCGGAAAGGATCCCATCCGAGCTGCAACCGTTTGAAGCAAAGAGGAGTGAACTGTCGCTCACCTGTGGCTGTATTCTCTGGGGTAACAGAGTCGTGGTACCGGAGAATCTGCGAGCCGAGGTGCTCAGTGAACTTCATAGCAGTCACCCAGGCATCAGCAAGATGAAGATGTTGGCACGAAGTTATGTTTGGTGGCCAAAGATCGATGAAGATGTGACAGAAGCTGTAAGAGGCTGTGCAGGATGTCAAGCTGGACAAAACGAGAGACCAGCGGTGTTTCTACATCCGTGGGACTGGGAACATACGAAGAACCCGTGGGAGCGGATCCATCTGGATTACGCAGGACCTTTCAGAGGTCAACATTACCTAGTCGTAGTAGACAGTCATACCAAGTGGCCAGAGATAGTCACCATGAAGACAGTCACGGCAGAAGCAACAATCAGTGAGCTCTCCAAGATATTTGCAAGGTGGGGAATTCCGGTGCAAGTTGTGACGGATAACGGAGCGCAGCTGACCTCGAGGGAGTTTGAAGAGTTTATGACAAAGCTGGGGATAAAACATATCCGAATCGCACCATATCGACCTCAGTCTAACGGACTGGCTGA